GAGCTAGGGAAGTAGAAGATTAACAGGCTTAGAAGAATGCTTAAAAATGGCTTTATTATTAATATGATCATGTTGAATATTACATACCTGGAGAACTGTTTAAGTAGGCAGGTTGGCAAATAAGCATAACAATTTGAGTTCAAGAGACAGTGTTTTCTTTCTTTAAGAGATATACATTTGAGATTCACTGGTATAGATTATGGCATTTGCAGCTGTGCACAAATGCAAATAATTACCCAGGGAATATGTTTAGCGATAGAAGAGAAGAACTTCTGGGATCGCATGCTCAGAAAATTTAGCACACAGGACACAAAATACAAATAAAATACGTTTTGAGACCATGCTGAATGGTCAAGGGTTGCTTAGAAGTCAAATAAGATGAGATTTAAGTGATCTGCTAAAAACTAAAAAGCTGAAAGATAGAATAAATATCTGTGCTCAATATTTTCTAGGATTTTCCTAGTAGCAAGGAGCATAGGAATGAACTTCAGTTATATTTACTTTATTGTACTGAATAGATTAATAAAACATAAGTCATACATTCAACAGGGACAAAAATGCAAAAGAAGACTATTACAAGCAAATGCAGTCAGTTCTAGCAACATCAATAGTGTTAACACATATTGAACCTTATTATATGATATGCACGTTGTATAAATAATCAAAGTCAAATTTCACAATACCATTGCCATTGTAGGGATTTACTACTCTCTTATTATAGTCAATGATAATGACATTCAGGTAACTGAGGTAGGTTGGCTAGGAGTCATATAATTAATAGATTACCTAGTAAATTTGTTTCTACCACTTGCCCCATTTCTTGAAAAACAAAGGAGAACTCAAGAAGAATGAGGTTATAAAGAGAAGAAGAAACAACATGTACAAATTAATAAAGATATGGAAGTAATTGGTATAATCTGGGAAAACTGTGTACTTCTATGTGACTGGGGAGTAGCAGTGAAGAATAATGTGAAAAAGAAAAGACCTACAAAGATAGAAACATTGAAGAATGATCACTTAAACCCAAATTCTGACATATGAGAAAAAGATATTCTGAAGGCTCCTTGAGTTATGACTCTATCTGATTCAATATAATCCACTAATTATTTTCTACATTACTGTACTTAGTGCATTATATTTTTTGGTAGGCCTGTATTATTTCCATGAAGTTACAGAGTTCACAGAGTAATAAATTAGAATTTGGTGAAATAAGCATTTTTCTGTCACATATTAGGCTCAAAAAATTTTTGCTGAATGAACCAGTGAAAAAAATGTTAATGGCCATAATTTATACTGTAGGAAAAGGAGTCATAGACCCTTTTCCACTAAGGGAAGTATGGGTAAGTTAAATAAACTGTTTCTCATTGAGAACAAGAAGTTACGTATGGCATGGTTATTTATACTTAATCGTGCTGTCTTACTGCCTCATATACTTTGTTATGCTTTAGTGTATACTAGAAATTACATTTGAAAATGTGTTTCAATAAATAATCTGAAGCCTAGCATTTTCTTACTTTTTTCCAAAAACGACATTTAAAACAATTTGGTATGCCATGTACCTGATAGAACTAGTATGGCTGTTACCGTATCTGTGTGTGTGTGTGTGTGTGTGTGTGTGTGTGTGTGTGTGTGTATACACAAACTATGGAGTGATATCATAAGAGTCTGAAACAAAAGACTTTCTATCCAAAATTCAATTCAGCAGATTCTATACCCTTCAAAAATGAAGTCTAATGAAATATTTTTTGTAAGAAAAAATTGAGAGAATTTGGCATCAGCAGATTCATATGAAAGGAAATATCAGAATTTTGGGGGGTAGAAGAAGAAAGTGATAACAAGTGCAGAGTTTCAAATGCAGAAAGAAATATAAAGAAAATAGTAACTTTATTGTAAATCGAAGTGGATATTAACCTTATAGAACAAGAATACTTAAATTTAAAATGCATCTATAATTAAAACAGATGACAGTGCATAATCATTGATATCAAAAAGGGGCTAAGTGATTTTTAAATTATTTGATATTGCTTAGGTAGAAGGTAAAAATAAGTATCTTGTATGAAGAAAAAAAGCATTCTGAAATTGTCAGCTTAACCACTAAAAGATTAGTAAATGGGCCTTTATCTTTTTTTTTTTTTTTGAGATGGAGTCTTGCACTGTCGCCCAGACTGAAGTGTAATGGCGCAATCTCGGATCACTGCAACATCCGCCTCCTGGGTTCAAGCGATTCTCCTGCCTCAGCCTCCTGAGTAGCTGGGATTACAGGTGCCCGCCACCACACCTGGCTAATTCTTTGTATTTTTAGTAGAGACAGGGTTTCACTATTTTGGCCAGGCTGGTCTTGAACTCCTGACCTCGTGATCCACCCGCCTTGGTTTCCCAAAGTGCTGGAATTACAGGCCTGAGCCACTGCATGTGGCTGGGCCTTTATCTTTTAAACAAAGAGAGAACAAATGGAATAGTGACTTTAAAATATTAATAATCATATTAAATATAAGCACCTACATGTCCACTCCAATGTAGTGATTAAAATTGACAAATTGACATTTTTTAGTTTAAAAATAATATATTGATAAAAATGCTAATAATCATCTGAGCCTTCAGCAAATAGTAATCTTTTCGCTAGTAATTTTTTTTTGCCTTAATATTGATAGCTGTTGACCATAGTGGTGACTGCTGAAGGTTGTGACAATTTCTTAAAATAAGACAACAGTGAAGTTTGCCACATGAATGAACTCATCCTTTCATGAAGGATTTGTCTGTAGCATGTGATGGTGTTTTAGAGCATTTTACTTAAAAAGACACATATAAAAGATAAGTATATATAAGAGTTAAAAGTAAAATAATGGAGAAAGATATGCCAAGATATACAAATAAAAGGAGTGCAGTGTAGTCCTATCAATATGGGTAAAGCAGATTTTATAAGAAAAAGCACAAGAGATAAATAAGATCCTTGAATGAGTGTAATCATGGAATGTTTTAAATGTACCTAACAAATTCCAAGTATGACAGTAAATTGTTAATTATAAAAATCAATTAAAAAATACGAATACGTTTTTACTTGTTTTTCTCCTTGAAATTGTTATTCTATTTCTCCCATAGAATTTTATCCCACTGTAATGTATTTTTATACTTGAATGTCATCATTACAATCATGCTATCATATTTCTACAACAGAAGTGTACAGATTTTTTATTTTCTGAAAAATTTTATACTCAAAAAAGTATTTTAGACTGCATTATAGTTACACTTAGCAGTGCACAGTTGAGACAAATAACATAAATTTTGGTAATTATTAACAAAAAATTTTAAATGTTTGAACATGCATCTTATATTGATATGGTGGGTGAATTATAGAGCTTTGATTAAATTAGACTTCTCTGACACCAATGTTTTTTACTTTCTGTGTATTTGGCTTCCTAGAGTTTTTGTTTGTTTATCTGTTTTTGTCATTTCGGGTCAATGCATTATGATAAGCTCCAGATGTTTTAGTATTATATACTTTTCTGTGTAGTGTGAAAGTGAAAGATGGCAGTGGTAAAAAGGAAGATGGGATAGGAGAACCATGGGTAGAGTTTTCATGTAGATCAGTTGAGGATGTGGAAATCAGGTTCCTTGGAACACCTCAGTGAACCATCAGCATGAAAGCGTCCAGTGTGAGGCAACCAATCTAGACAGATGCATCTGATACTTTAATCTCCTTCTACCACATCCTTGCAGTTAAGTCAGTGATTACATTTATGCACAGGATCCTTCTCACTGGACTGTTAAAGTTTTCATGAGAACTGGAATTATTCTTATCTTATTCACAGCCTCAAGCACAGGAATAATATTAAATTGATATATTGAATAAACTCAATCAACACTGGTAGAATTGAATTAGGATTGTAGGGGATTTGCCACAACCCCTGGTGGGACAGTATTTATTTCATTAAAAAGAGGTTGGATAATAAAATGCTGAAGCCAATACCTTTTGTGGAAATTTATTATTATTTTTTAAATTTAAAACAATACTTGGTGCTGACTAGAAATGAGTCAGTCTCTGTAGCACTAGGAAAGAGCCAAAAAAAGTGAGGGAGGGGGGAGGGAAGAAACAAAACAAATAGCAGATGGCAATTGAGCCAAGCCACCCACTCTCCCTACAGGCCCTTTTGAAATCAACAGATCCAGTTTAGATTCCATGTTCTGGGAGTGATTCTGCTGCTTTAGGGACATGTCCCTGGCTCAGTTAGCCCCCTTGAAATTCGAGAATAAGAACACAGAGAAATAGGATGAGTTAGGGAAATTACTTCTTGAAATATTATTTAGGCATACTTTCATCTTGCCTTTCATTTTCTGTATATCAGTGTTATCTATTTTTTATCTGGTTTCCAAACTGTTACGTCACTCAATTTGGTAAATCCTACATCTCTTTAGGCGATGTACTATTCTGTTTAGTTTAATGGCTATATGCTTTCTCCTGTTTTAGAGAAGTTCATTTCCCATTTTCATGGACATGACAACTCTTCTGGGATCCTTCTCTCTGAATAGGGTTGCTTGGTGTGTCACAAACCCACCCTCCATTGAATTCATCCCAGAAAACTAAATTAAATAACCCAGAAAATGGGGCCATTCCAGGAAAGGTAATTTTTTTTTTTTTTTTTTTTCTGGTGCATTGTATCCTTGAGAGGTGAAGGCGGCTGGGCTTCTGGGTCGGTGGGGACTTGGAGAACTTTTCTGTATAGCTAAAGGATTATAAATGCACCAATCAGCACTCTGTGTCTAGCTAAAGGTTTGTAAACACACCAATCAGCACTCTGTAAAAACGCACCAATCAGCACTCTGTGTCTAGCTAAAGGTTTGTAAATGTACCAATCAGCATGCCATAAAAACGGACCAATCAGCACTCTGTAAAATGGACCAATCAGCACTCTGCAAAATGGACCAATCAAAGTGCTGTAAAATAGACCAATCAGAAGGATGTGGGAAGGGCCAAATAAGGAAACAAAAGCAGGCCACCCAAGCCAGCAGCTGCAACCCGCTTCGGTCTTGTTCTGGGTTGTGGTAGCTTTGTTCTTATGCTTTTTGTAATAGCTCTTGTTGCTGTTCAGTGTTTGGCGTCTCCACTACTTTTATGAGCCGTAACACTCGGTGGGAAGATCTGTGGCTTCGCTCCTGAAGTCAGCGAGACCGGGAACCCACCGGGAGGAACGAACAACTCGGGACGCTACACCTTTAAGAGCTGTAACATTCACTGCAAAGGTCTGCAGTTTCACTCCTGAAGTCCGCGAGACCACAAACCCACTAGGAAGAAGGAACAACTTGGGACACGTCACCTTTTAAGAGCTGTAACACTTACGGGGAAGGCCTGCGGTTTCACTCCTGAAGTCAGCAAGACCACGAACCCATGAGAAGGAAGAAACTCTGGACACATCTGAACATCTGAAGGAATGAGCTCCGGACACACCGTCTTTAAGAACTCTAACACCACGAGAGTCCGCGGCTTCATCCTTGGAAGTCAGCGAGACTGAAAACCCTCCGGAAGGAACCAATTCCAGACTCATCAAGTGAGGGACCTTTTTTTTTTTTCCTTTTTTTTTTTTTTTTTCACCTACGGATATTAGTTTCACGTAACTGCTTTTACTATAGAATAAAATGAGAATGAAATTCATTGCTGCGATGTGGTTAAAGACTGCTTACTTGTTATGAAGGGCTAATCACTAAATCACCCTTACTCTTTTGTAAGATAAATTGATTCTTTCAGAAACACCTATATGTCTCACTATGTTAACATTTTCATATTCACTGGTTTCAAAGTAAAGGGTTGCATTATCACAAAATTAGTGAATTCTGATTGGACCCAGGTTTAGATGTTTTCCTCGTTTTATCTTGTATATTCAAGCAACCAAGATGAAATTCTCCTTAATCAACTGGCAAATGTATTTCATTTGATCAGTTCAAGACTGCTGATGTGAGTGGTAAATACTACACTTAAACTGTTTCTTTCCGTTGTGTCTTTACAGCATGATATTTCATATAAGAGACAAGTGGTATTGAGTCCGATGAATACATTTAGTTTGATTGTGATTCAAAAATGAGTCATTAAATAGCTAGGCTTTGGTGCCTGAGATCCTCCTTTGTGCGAATAGCGTTATATGCTATAAGCTACATACTACTTTTTCCTATTTTACAGATATTGCAACTGAGGCTTAGAAAAGTTAAATGCTTTTGCCGAGGAGGTCCAACTGCTGGTAAGTGACAGACCTCAAAGTTTGGTTTTTGTGTTTGCTTGTCTTCACAGAAAGGACCCAATCCTGTCCTACTCACAGTCTCTCAGTGTCCATGGGAAGTTGGTTCCAGGACCCCATGGACACCAAAATTCATACATGCTCAAATCACTTACGTAATATAGTGTGGTATTCACATATCAATGCACATCCTCCTATATATTTTAAATTGTCTCTAAATTATAATACCTACTGAAGTCAAATAATATATAGAGGTGAATCTCTTAAGTTTAAAATGTTTTATTTGGGAAGCAAAAACTGTGATTTAAGGAATGCACATATAGGTGGTCTTTGGCATGTTCAAAGAACAAAGAGAATGTTGGGAGTTTTATTAGAAAGGAAAATGTCACATATGGTTTTGAAAAAAAGCTCATTTTGAGAGGGGAAAAACTGATGGGTGAGTGATGGTGCTATGTAAAACTAGCCTTAGAGCTCTGACAGGTCATTTCAGCAGCTATTAGGTAAAACTAGTCTTAGGTTACCGAAGGCTGTTTCAGCAGGTGGGCTTGTAGAAAGTTTAATTCTTGGAGCAGGTAAATGTGCTCTGAGTGTGTTTCCCCACCGGTCCCTTGAATTTGATTTAGTTGGGTATGTCAAGAATGTTACAATCTGTATAACCAACTTTCACAAACCTAAAACAATCTAAATGCTACTTACATAGTTGTTACACTGTGTTTTTGTTACTTTTAATTGTTATTTAAAAAAATATTTTGACCCAGAGTTGGTTGAATACCTGGACTTGGAACCTGCACATATGGAGGACTGACTGTATAAAAACATATTTGTGCTCCACCCAAAACTTGTATTGATTTTTATGTTCATTCCATATATATTTATTAAATGCCTTCTCCAACTAATGGTAAATACAATAACTGAAATATTGGGTGAGAAATAAAATCATAAAAGCATATCTATATATATAAGTCCTTATCTATCGTTTCAGTGTGACTCTGATCATCATAAGAAACCCACCATAGGGTTCTATTTAGGTGCATGTCTGCAACATTAGGATCAGTACTTAGAATAATTCGTTATGTGTGGTAGCTTTAAAAAAAAAAAAGGTTGTAAATGAGTAACTATTGTTGTCGGCCTCCACAGGAGGCTAATAAATTGTACCTCTCTTTGCCAGGATTTCTGAACAATTTGAACAATAACATTTAAAAAATGGAAGATGAAACTGTAACATTATCTTTATTACTGGAAAAAAATAAAAGTTAGAAGACTTGGCCTTAGGCCATGGCTCTGTATCTCCATGAAGTATCTCCACATTGACGAAGAGCACCTGGAGATTCCACAAAACCTTCTTTCCTAGGGGCAACTTGCAAACAAAAAAGGGAGAAAAAGAGGGTTAAGCCTCTTCAATGGGTGTGTGATTAAGGTAAAATTTCTATTAAAAAATGGGATTATCCCAGCAACTGATGAAGCTGAGCACGGAAAAGCAATGATTGCAACTTGGGAGTCTGTAACTCGAAGGGACAGAATTCTTTATCTGCATATGTCACACATCAGAAGATCTGTTCACTAGTTACAATGCAGAGTGAACGTGGGACGTGGGTCTCTGTTACTTGCTGAAATTTCCCTGAGAAAAATGTGGCTTTTTGACGTAAGATAACTTTCTCTAGCTCAGCCAGTTCTGCTTCCGTACTCACAATGTCGGAGACCCTGCTTGTCTCATTCGCACACCATCATTAGCAGTTCCTTCAACAAAAACATTACATCTTTCAGTGTATGTATTCCGCACTGAATGAAAAACAAAAATGGCACTGCAGGACTTAAGCCTTTCTGGATTGGAGAGGAAGAGCAGAATATTAATAATAAACAGAGAAAGACATTTCTTTCAGTTATTCTTCCTTATTTTTAGACAGCTAGAAAACATAGACACACACCAAACCTTTATTTAATTAACTGTCCTGCCATATATGAGAAAAGGCTGCTGGGTGTGGTGGCTCACGTTTGTAATTCCAGCACTTTGGGAGGCTGAGGCAGATGATCACCTGAGCCTAGGAGTTGGAGACCAGCCTGGGCAACATGGTGATACACCATGTCCACAATTTTTTTTTTTTTTTTAGTTGGGCATGGTGACATGTGCCTGTGGTCCCAGGTACTTGGGAGGCTGAAGTGGGAGGATTGCTTGATCCTGGGACGTCGAGGCTCCAGTGAGCCATATTTATGCCAATGCACTAGAGCCTGGGTTACAGAGGGAGACAGCGGGGAGACCCTGTCTCAAAAACAAAACAAAACAAAAAAGTCTGACACACAGAAGATACTCGAAATGGTTCCTATCGTTTAATATGATCATATGCATGACTCAGGATGGCATGATGTCTTATTAAACTTAAGTTCTTGATTTCTGGAGGGAACTCCTAGAGGATAGAGCTTCAAGTTGAACTTCTGTTGTCACCTAGCATGAAGTACTGCGAGTGATGCAAGTACTACATCTGGGTCTTCACATACATTTTCTGAAATAGTTTTCGGTGTCTACAGTTTTACCTCTTCCTAGGAAGACGAAAGAGTTCTCTGAATTAGGGAAGAGACGAGGGTATAGGCATCTATTGAGCCAAAAAATTGATTTTGCAGAATCCATAAAAGTCGAAAATTTAGTATTTATAGTTTAGTATTTATAGGTTAGTATTTATAGTTTCCATTAATGCCTCAAAAAACTTTACCTTCTTTATTCTGAAATGGTCACATAGTACTATGCATTTGCCAAGAAAAAAAGAAAGACAAATTTCTAGGGACAGTAAAATAGTTTAAAAAGATGATGATAGGAATGTATTTATTATTTTGGTAAAGCATTTTAATCTATATATTTATGCCTTGGTTTAAAAATACCCTATTTATGCTTAAAGATACCTGCAGTGAAATGTGAACCTTCACTTAAGTAATTTGCAGTGAAGATGGCTTCAAAAACGGAATCCCAGTATAGTAAAAAGATACTTGAATTGAAAACTTGAATCTTATTCTTGACTTGAACATTTAAGAGGTTTTTGTTTTGGAAACACGCTTTAACATCTCTGAAACTCAGTTTACTTTAAAAACTGGGATTAAAATTTTTATTTATATCAAAAATTACAGTAAGGATTAAGCATAGTCATGCTGTAAATACAAAGCATTTCCATGAAATGTAGCAAATACTGATTTACTTACAATTTGTTTTAAATTATACCATTAAAAGGCTCACCTCTGTTTCTTGACCTGGAGCAAGAATACATATGGAAATTGACGTGCTTAAATATTGAGGCGTACAACAAAACCATCAGATATTACATAAAACGAGTATTTTTTTTGACAAATCTAACTTCAAAATGATAAAATCAAATATTTGTGCAATGTTACAGTGCTTATATGATCCAAACTGACTCAATATCAGGGACAACTGAAGTTAATTATTATTGCATATGCCCAGACAGTCTTTGGGGGCTAGTGATATTTGCATTTGTTTGTTATAATACAAAATTTCCTGTAAATTGTGTGATATTGAGAGTTATATCATAATTTTAAAATAATACATAAATTATGGAAGACTTCTAGCGCCATCTCAAAAGAACAGAATTCAACCTCAAAAGGCTGCCACCGGACAAATATGGAAGATTATGAGCATCACTAAGAAGAATAACTCCAGTAGATGAAAATATATTAAATATTAATAAATGCATAAGTTAAAATGATTCTTACAATCATGATTTTGAAAGGTGCTAAGGATCTATATTATTATTTTTAAATTAGTAAATAAAGGGAAAGAATCATTTATCTTGCCATGAATCCTGCCTTACCTATATATAAAATGTATCAGAGGCTAAACAAATAGTAGGTGAACTTTTCTGCAAGAATATTAAATGCAGGAAGAATAAGAGAATTAGAATATTAGCATTGTGCAACCTCTAATGAACTAAGACCTCTAGATTTGAACATCCAGTGCAGCTAATCCCATAAATAGAATGGTTCCCAGGGTTTATGTGCCTCTTGAAGAAAGAAGATAAAATCACCAATGTAGGATTCTTTCAAACAAATAACGGGTTGGATATGATCAAACCTGTAGTTAATATTCAACCACAGATTTACAGGAAATAAAAAGAACAGAAAGATAATGTTAAACTATACCACAGAGATGTAATTAACAAAATCCACAACCACGCTTTCAAAAGTAGTAGTTAATAGTAGCTACTTGCCACATGCAGCTATTTAAGTGTAAATTTAACATTAAAAAACCCGTTTAGTTCCTTGGAAACATTCTCTACGGGACTCAATAGCCATACGTGGCTAGTGGCGATCGTATTCAACAGCCCAGAACATTTCTGTAATTGCAGAAAGTTCTATTGGGCAGTCCTAATCTAAACTGTATAAAACACTACAAGACAATTGGTTTCTAAAACAATGAGAGAGTGAAAAAGAGAACAAGAAGAAAAGCAAATGAGATAAACAAATTTGTAAATACTCAAAAGATACATCAGTCGTGATCTGTGCAACATTGGGATTCCAATTTCAAAGAACTGTAGAACAAACAAATTTAAGTTATAACATTTATGAAGCCATTGGAATTTCTAAACTGACTGGATATTTCCTGATAATAGATAACTATTATAAATCTATTTTATGCATAATGTTAAACATAATTTTCATATTTTAATGTTATAAAAGATTAAGAGATGAAATGATATAGTTTGGATTAGTGTCTAAGTAATATAGGGGAGTGGATGATGGTGTTTATAGGGAAGAATTCTTAAGGCCAGGTGATGAGCACATGGGACTCCTAATACTTTTGTTTCTCCATCGTAAACTAAAAAAGAATAAAATATAATGCAATTGATTTAACATATAAAAATTTAGATGGATAATCATAAATGGTTGCAATGAACTAATGTTTATGATTTCCCTAAAATTCATTTGTTGAAACTTTAATCCAAACATAATTTTATTTGGAGGTAGGGCCTTTGAAAGTAATTAGTTCATGAGAGTGAAACCATCATGAATGGGATTAATGCCCTTGTAAGAAGAAGCCAAAGAGCCAGGCGCGGCAGCTCACGCCTGGAATCTCAGCACTTTGGGAGTCTGAGGCAGGTGGATCACTTGAAATCAGGAGTTCGAGACCAGCATGCCAAACATGGTGAAAATCCGTCTCTACTAAAAATACAAAAATTAGCTGGCTGTGGTGGCGGGCACCCGTAATCCCAGCTACTTGGGAGGCTTTGGCAGGAGGATCAATTGAACCCGGGAGGTGGAGGTTGCAGTGAGCCGAGATCATGCCACTGCACTCCAGCCTGGGTAATGAGAGCGAATCTCTGTCTCAAAAATAAAATAAAATTAAAAAATAAATAGAAGAAGCCAAAGAGCTACATAACTCACTTTCTGCCATGTGGAGATACGAGGAGGGGTCAGCAGTCCAGTCAGGGAGAATAAATAATATTCATGTTATTTGAGGAGGACGTATACCTTTAATCAATTTACCTTTTTTCTTAAACGTCCTCGTCCTCCCACCACTCAATTCTATCCTGTACCTCAGAGTATGGCCATTCCTGGTATAGGCAGTGGCATATTTCATAAACAGTTACGGTGTTTAGATTCAGTCACCGTTTTTTCACATTAGGCAAGAATATGGATATGGAGAGACATTTCTCTCTAGCAGGCATAATTTCATATATACTTGGCCAGAATTAAGTCACATGTGCATACCTAAGCCTATCACTTGTTAAGATGGTTAGAAACAGCTTAATTAGCTTAAACTAAAGAAGGATTCAGCCTATTCTGTACCTGAAGATTTACAATGCCCATTCTTGAACAAGAGCAGTATTCTTGTAAGAAGGAAAGGAAAAGTGGGAGTGTAGAATGCTAGCTAGGTAAGCAACAATATTTTCCACACTCACCCAACTTCTATTACATAGCATCAGAACACATTAGAAATGACTATAAATGATGAAAGATTGCAGAAATACACAAAATTACATTTTGTTTGTAGTAATGAAATGAATGGGAATCGCTGTACAATTGATTGAATGTGTCATTTGTTACAATGGTCCATCCAAGAAATAGTCTCACCCTAGATATAGTAAAAAAATAATATGATGATAATCATGATGCTTTTCCAGCTCACCATTATCACTGTCATCATCACAATCATTATCTCAAAGTTTTTTTTTTTTTTTTTTTTTTTTTTTTTTTTTGAGACGGAGTCTCGCTCTGTCGCCCAGGCTGGAGTGCAGTGGCCAGATCTCAGCTCACTGCAAGCTCCGCCTCCTGGGTATGGCATTCTCCTGCCTCAGCCTCCCGAGTAGCTGGGACAAAAATTTAACACTTTCATAATCTCTTCAAAGCAGAGGTCAATAAACGTTTCCTGTAAAAGACTAGACAGGATTTGCAAACCATATGGTGTCTATTGCAATTATTCAACTCAGTAGTTGGAGCATGAATGCACTCATAGACAATTCATGCCAAATGAACCTAGCTGTGAATTAATAAACTTTATGTGTGGGTACCTCAATTTGAATTTCATATAATTTATATGTGTCAAGAAATATTCTGTTATCCCACTGGAGTGCAAGCTCTTGAAAGCAGGATCCTGCTTGAAAGCAGGATCATGTACTAACTCATTTTTATGTCCCACAAAGTGGCATAAAACAGACAAAAACCAAACATTTTTTTCTGAATGCAGAATAATATAGTAAGTGTAGATATAGTTCTCTTAAGATTACATGGTCAAAATCTGAAGACAGGGCCCTTTAGTCATCCTCTACTCTCTAAGTGTCAGTTGCATTTCTATGCAAAGTCAGTCAGTCAGTAAGTCCTGTATCTACCCTCCTGTCAAAGCACTTAGGCCCTTTCCTATATATAACATAA